GCGTTCGTTCCATCAGAACGGAAAAAGGCGATTTTGTAAGGTGGTGGCAATCAAGAATGGACGAAAACCGACCAAGAGCTTTGACGCGGCCCGGAATTCTGTGTTACAAAAACCCAAAACCCCAAGGCAAAAAGCTTCGAGGATCATCTGGGAGCAATATAGCGGACCAGATAAATTAGCATCGGACGCTTAGTTCGTGCTTGTACCATATCGTATCCCTTCATCCAAGATTGAGTCAGTAAGGTTCACCACGTTGTCATTCATTGCTCAACACAAAGTCCTAACGTACCCATCTTGTCACGCGTAGAAGTAAGGTACTGGATGAACAAAGGAATAAAGATTGCAAACCAATCTAGTTGCATTATAAAGGATACTTTCTAAAAATCGATGAAAAGCAGCGCATTGTCCAGTGTTGCGAGTTGGGGCTCACAGAGAAGATGTGTCCGTAAAAGCTCATTTAGTCTATGATCATCCTTGAAATATGTGAAATGGTAACTTATCGTGTTATACACGTCAAATTGATGCAGACAAGAAATCCAGAGGAGTTTTGAGTGGACAGTCCTATATATTCATTGATTTATTGCTAGATTTCTGACGGACTGCAACAATTAGTCAGCGGTGAGAGTACCGACACAATGTGATTGAGTACATGCGTTATCGCTGAGAAGCTCAGTTTGATTTTTCAGACCATACAACTCGTAACAACCGTAGTTTGATAGCTGGGATAGTCTAGCATGAGGTGATGAATTTCGACATTAGTTCGTATCCACACTTTTCTGTTGTCTTTCGTGGACTAATACCATTTAGCAACAGGGCAAGCGGCAGTTGGACTTATGCAATTAATATGATTTCCAGATGACTTGCAAATCCATTCATAGCACTAACTGGCTGGAATTTCACGTTCTCATAGATTTGAGCTCAAAACACACTGGATGGGGTGGATTAGATGTTGTGATATCTCAGACACAACTCGAAGCTGAGCCGCTACGACACCTGGATAAATAAACGTGAACTTGGAAACCCTCTGAGAATTCTACCAGCGTTGTTTGTTTGTGATTAACACGATCAAAACAGTCATTCACTCTCAAACTCTCAATAATCAGTGAATCATCCATCGTTTTGTCAAACCGCCCCCATGAGATCGAATTTCTTTCTGAGAGAAATCCGCTGTCCGGTTAGAGTTGATCACCTTTCCAACTGAGTGATAGGGAAGTGGGAAAAGTAGGCAGAAAACCCGAAGGAAATCTCTGAACACGCGAGGAAGCAAGAGAACTAAAGATTTGTGGAATTCTCGTCAACTAAAACGGAATACAAGCAGTCAGACAAACACTGGTAGAGAGCAAAAATACTGGTGTCACTGCGACCATTTATAATCTGATTGCACGCATGGTTGAGTTGAACATGATCCCCGGTGGGGGGGAGTGTTAGTTAGCGCAGGTCTAATTCCCGGACAAGTGGACGGATGAATACGTGATGCTAGTGCCTGAAAAGTTGAAAAACCTCAGACGGTTGAGAGTCGCATTCTGTCGTTAGAGAACACATTGTAACAGAGAGTTGGAAGCCCTCTTGTTTTTTCGTTGTTGGCACATCAAACGCTGAGAATCTCTGTTATCTAAAGAAACAGTAAGCACACCTCATTCTCTCATTTTGATTGGATTTAGTTGTTGAATTTTGGATACCAGCTACAGGAAGACGTAAAAAGTACGCTTATTGGTGACAGACAAAGGAGGGATCAGGGTTCAGACAATAATAATAGTTGTGGAAATAAAAATAATGTTAATAGTCTTGAATTGACATTCAGTCACACATCCTGCGGACAAAAAGACAGACTGCTATTATTGTTGTTATCATTACCATTATCTTCAGTATGTCATAAGGGCATTCCCTAGGCCGAGTCACAGTGGATACTGGTTGACGTCGCAGATAGGGACTATGTATAAATGGCCATACCTTTGTCTAGTGGCACAAGGATTTCTGGCTGCAAGAGACGCCCTTCTTCAGATTAGTCTGAGCTCGAGCAGTTTAAGGTGCGGCTTTTAAAGAGTTGTTAAAATTAGCTCCTACATAAATTTCGCCTAGAGGGGCGAGATGACCCAAGTGGTTAGAGGGCGAATTTACTGACCGGAAAGTCCGTGACTCGGACCCAACCTCTGCCTCTCGACTCGTCCTGTCTAGGCTTGACCAATCTGGCAGTATCCCAGCCCTCGTGCGGCCTTCGGGTGGCATGGCAGTTAGGCACCGAAAGAGTGTTGCAGCTGAAATTTCGCCTATCTGTTGGAACGCTTTACTTTGCACAAGCGTGAATCGTGGTGACGTTTTGAGGTTAGCAATCGGTATTCGAGATGTATTCTACGAGCACGATGCTTATACAGAATCAAGCCTATTTCGCCCTCTGAATTGTACACTTCTCATTGCAGAGTTGGACAAGCGGAGGTCAGTGGCAGAAGTAGAGTAGAAGAAAGTCATGTCTCTAAAGAAAGAGGTGCTGAAAATGTAGGGTGTTGGGTAAAATTACTGAGACTTGCAGCGCGAAAAACGACAGTAAGCGCATCGTTCCGGTAGCCATTTGACTGACCAGTTAACTTTGAAAGCCAACGCTAAAGCCCCGAACTCAGCCTTTCTCCATGCACACACATACACCAACCTGCGCCAGATTGTCTGCTGTGACGCTGCTCTCACGCCTTTGCTGCAGTAACTTGGGGTTTCGGATAAACTCTGGTGTGGACCCATGCAGGAAGTGCAAACCAACAGGTCATTAGCACACTGGTACTTTTCCACGGGCTCAAAAGGGAAAGTTAGCCAGAATTACTACTTGAAATTCTATGCGAAACAGCTTGGTCACACAGTACATTTAGAGGATGTCCACGGATGAATTGCGACAACAATGAAAACCCGGTAGTTTTAAGCTAGTTGCACAGATCACATCCAAGGCAACTTTCGCTTGCCAATTCCAACATACAGTCATACAAAAACAAAACCATTGGGACAACTAACCCAAGCGTTTGAAAATCAACGTCAGCTCTTCCTCTACGGTGGAACCGGGGAACAGAGGCCAACCAGTGGCCATTTCGTAGAAAATACATCCGACACCCCACATATCAATGTGGGTCGAGTATTCTGTGGATCCGAGTAGTATGTCCGGGGGTCTATACCTGCAAAAAACAAAAAAAACCCGGATAAAACAGCCATGGATTGGAATATGGCGAGTTAACAGTGATCGAAATGTGAATGGAAGTCAGATGCAGGGGTACCTCGAAAGATACTACCGCAGCGGAGTGTGTCTCGTTTCGCCTGAGAAGGGGCTTGCTGACCGTTAGTGATTTATGGTATTGTTGTGAGAGTAGGCCATCTTTCGAGGGTCATCCTAGAGAAGAGGACCGTACCTTAGAAACGGCTCCTCTTATTGTGATTCTACCTCGAGGACAGTGAACAGGAAGAACTTGTGATAGTTCGTCTATAGTGATGCCTGCAAATGGAGCTACTCACCGTACACCCGGGATCCGATAGAGTCCACCTGAGGCTTCTCAATCAGTGAGTAATGCCACATCGTAACGAGAGAATAGGTGATTTTTCCGTGTTTTTTTGGTGAGAGCTATCATGCGAACGCATGATCTTGTTGTTATTGTTATGACAATCCTTGGTAATCTGTACAATGATCCCTCTGTAAAAGATACAGGCTTTCATAATAAATCGTTTCAGACTCATCACCGAGCGCTCCCCACTGAGGGTCATTGTGTTCAGCGATTATTTTTGGAAATGGTCAGTGATAACCGTTTGCATCTTTGTGTGTTGTGTCTAACTACGAGCTGGTCACTCTGCTGGACAGCCGCTCGTTGCCGAACGCTTAAATGTCCAAACTATTAGACAGGAAGTCGCGGATTGGAGACTCCTTGGAGTTTCGTGAGATGATGTTGCCGAATAAGGATGAACCGGCTGCACAGTGCTCCTTGGCTCTTCATGGACTTGCTTCACCACTAAAAAAAATTCCTTTTTCATTATGGAAAAGTAAACTGCACATCGCATCTGAACGAAAAGATGTTCGATTAGTGACCACCACAAATGGGAAACAAACATTAGGGAAGTAGGCTAGTCTTCTAAGTTTGCCAAGCAAGCAGTGACTGTGCCGAGAGGATTTTTAAGTTGGTTCCAAGATTGACAGATCCCAACTCCAAAAATTATACCAGGTTTCTCAAATGACGGGAGCGTACGAATGTAACAAGACTAAATGTGGGAATAAGGATGAGTGGGTGTGGAAAAAGTAAATCGGAACACTTATTGTTTACGCGTCGGTGGACCAGAAAACGGGTAGGCTTACCATAAAGTGACTACTTCGTTTGAATACGTTTTTATTGGGATCGACTTGGCACGAGCCAGGCCGAAGTCTGCTAGTTTGAGATCTCCACGATCGGTGATGAGTAGATTCTGCGGCTTCAAATCTCGATGCAGGATTCGCCGTTTGTGACAAAAGTCTAGTCCACGTAGAAGTTGGTACAGGAACAATTGTACATTATCTGGATGCATAATTCCATGACAATCGTGAAGGTACTGCTTTAGATCTCGTTCCTAGAGGTGGAGGGAAGGTGTGAAAAGCACAGGAATGAAGTACAAGAAGGTAGCAAACTGAGCATTATACAGAGCGTAAAATAATTAGAAGCGATCACAAATACATCCTCCGTGGCCTTCTCCCTGGTCGAGGGGAACTGCCTGAAGAAATCAATACTCAGATTAGGCCCCAGACTATTTTGCGGCATTTCCGTTTAAAGTTCCGTTCCAAAGGGACAAAAAGTCATGCAGCATGCTTGGCCAGGCGTCTGTATTTGGATCGCAAGTTCAGCAGAGTTTTTCTGGGTAATGAGAACCAATCGGGAACTTTGCGGCATTTCCGTTTAAAGTTCCGTTCCAAAGGGACGAAAAGTCATGCAGTATGCTTGACCAGCCGTCTGTAGTTGGATCGCAAGTTCAGCAGAGTTTTTTTTGGGTAATGAGAACCAATCGGGAATCCCTTAGGTCATATGAAGCAAAGAGATTAGGCAGCAACAATCCAAGCAACGGCTGCACTTAGTCTACTGTTCTCTCTGATCTCATTCACGATTAGCTACAAACTGTGGTCCCCGGGGCGGATAGAGCCTGCACGAATCCTTTATGAACGCCAAAAAAATACCGTGAGCTTTCGATGCCACGGTACAAGGTTGGTTGATACCCAGCTGAATCGATGGATAAACGAACCTCGACTGCTTGCATCGGAGAGCAAATTGTTTTGTATCTTGTAGTAAAGTACAGTATAAACTACCCAAATTTCAAAGTGATAAGTAGAGCGTTCAAAGTGATACTGAATTCTCCCCCCCCCAAATGAGTTTTTATTCGATCCTTTCCGGTTTGGCTTCCGTTGGTTCCTTTTCACGAAAGATTAGTTCTCAGGAGAGACCAAGAACACCAAGAACGGTTATCACGTGATCGATTGTTCGAAGAAGGAAGTATCAATAGTGTTCTTCGCCAAATGTCTCTGAGCTTATGGCATCGTGCTAATTCTGTAAGTTTATTTCATCTGGTGCTGTTTTCAGCTGAGCGTAAATGGTTATGCGTGATACTCGCGTCTGAGAGCGATCGATGGGGCGAAGCAACTACAAGCTACAAAAAACAGTGGAACAGCGGTGGCCGTGCGGTGACGAGACGTCTTCCAGAATAAGCAGCAGCGGAAGAACAAAGAATGGTTCTCAAAATATAGCATCACCATGGGGAGTGAAGTTCGGCGGACTACCTGAAAAAGCTACAAAAAACAGTGGAACAGCGGTGGCCGTGCGGTGACGAGACGTCTTCCAGAATAAGCAGCAGCGGAAGAAGCAAAGAATGGAGAGTGAAGTTCGGCGGACTACCTGAAAGGGTTGTAATAGGGTTCAAATCGCAGCTTGAGACATACCGCTACAGCTCAGCGTATGCCAGATGTGGTAGGTACAGTTACTGTTTAATGGGCAATGTAGGTTGTCACTTGGAAATACACCAATTCTTGACCAGTGAATGTCATATGTGGTGCTCGACGCCAAACGCTAACTTCGGTTGGTCGATTGTGTGTTCAGAACACTTCAGAGACTGAAAAGTTTAGTCGAGAACTAGTAGATCACAGTGAGCTGATAGTGGCATTTTTAGTTTGTGTATTGTTATCACACGTCACAAAGGGATTTCCTTTCACTACACCAATACGTGTGAAACTAAGGCAGAATAACATAAGAGGGAGAGTGAGACATCTTTGATTACTCGTTGTTCCAGATTGTTGCATGGCTGTTTGCTTGCGCCTAGTTTTGCCTATATTTCGAGTAAGTAGTATTTCGCACCTATGGATTAGTGATCGGATTAATGTAGCATACGCTGTGTGTGTGTTGGGGCAAAGGCTATCGGTGTTCCGAATTTTCAGCACAATTGTAAATGTTGCAAGTTAGATAGCCAAGTGACTATGATCAAATTACGTTCAGTTCGCCCAATGCAATGCAACCCAAGTTCTACACGCATAATTTATGTGAACCTGATTAAATCGGACTGGTTTAGTATTAATGATGAATTAATTTGTTCCCGAGAGCGAGGTAACGGCTAACAACCTAGAGGAAACCCCAACAAAATACAAGGCTAACTGTGAAGTTAGTAACCAAACTCGTGTTTAACTAATGCCGGTTTGCAGACAGTGCGAAAACTTTATTGACAATTAATGCCATCTCTTGCCGTGCTACTTGCCACCGGCAGAAGTATTAACAGCGCAGTCTGATTACAAGGGTTCATTTAGCAAAATTCGCAGCCTTGCACCTTGATGTCTGTGGCTGAAAAAAACTGAAACAGACCATATTGGAAAAAACGGATGCCGTCGCTTATGGGTCCTTGCTTAAAATTACCCCACGCAATTCCTGCTATCCCATTATTATTGGCGTTTATCACTTAACTTAGCAACCTTAGCTCTTCTCACAACAACCCGCACATAGTCATGCATGAAACAAACTGATCGATGAAACTAACGTGCTTTGAAATGTAATTCAGAAAACGGACACAATCGGCTTATGTACTCTGTCCACCAGAATCACACATGCATGTGACCCTGGCTCGCACAATTCTACAGGGAATCGAAAGGTAACTTCATTCGATCACCTTCCACCACCTTGCCACGCGAGACAAATCGTGTTGGTCTTTTGACCTACAGGCTCCGAAACTTGCTCTCATCGTTCCGGCTAGATAGGCGTCCGAAACCTCGTAGCAGCGTGTACACCAGAGGTGAATGATCAATGTGCATCTTCAGAAGAATAGTGCACATGTTCCAATAATAAGCAATCATCACTGTACCGAATAACCATAATTGTGAGGCCGGGCGTACGAAATGACGAGCGAACAGACTTAGTTTTATCAAGAAGTATCATCGCCATCCATCACCGAAAATGATCGCCTTACATTGCTCGTTGGCAGCGCCACGCAAACATCCGATTTCTCGATTCAACAATCAGCGCTAGGTATGTGAAAAGGTGACACGCGTTCTGTAGCAAGCATGGTTTATTTAACACCCGATATTCACCGGAAACTGTTTTTCTCACCATGTACCATAGTGGGATACACGTCTGCTGTTCCGGTTGCTAAAAAGCCACTGACTTGTTCATTTCTTATTCTATTACTCTCGGTTGCTGTCACTTATCCTTAAATAACAGATAGTGTCATTACAACAAGGACCGATTGAAGAGGCTGGTCCGCTACCATGTTGTTGGTCAGTTGACAAAGACTGTGCAATCATTTTGTTCTGTTAGGATAGATACACGAGGAGAAAGCCCTGCGTTCAAAAGTGGATTGGGCCCAAATAACCGTTTGTCGATCTTCCAACCAGGCATGGATTCCTTCTACTCTTTGTGTGGATTCAGCAGCTGGGTTGGCGAATCGCGAAATTCACATGTCAATTAAGCTGATTTGGTGAGAGTTCAACTGTGCTGGTTAATGGATATTCACTGTGTGAATCCAAACACTAAAACAGTTCGAATTCTAATGATTGGCATCACTGCTTTAGATTTGGGATTCTGTTTTGATCCTGACAGCCATATGCTGGATAGTAAAGAAAAACAAACACTGGAAAAATGGTCAATTAGTGTTGCCCACCTGTTGCTGGCGTTACATGTTGTTTACTCCCTCGCTCATCTACGCTCTCTGCTTCACATAAGAAGAAATGCGTTGAAAAAGAGGAAGTTGAAAATAACAGCGCCGAGAACTGACCACAAACGAGTGGTACTTTGTGTGAAAAATGGAAGAGTTTGGGAAGCGAACTGGGCAGGATAAGTCCGAATGTATTGTTGACCAGTCTACTGAGCTCGCAAACGTTTCGACGCCTGGTGCTCGCAGATGAGGCGTTCGCAATCCAAATTCTAAGCCAGGTGAACAGAACAGCAACCAGTAGCCGCATCCAGGTAACCAATATTTTGACATACTGTCATGTTCAAACAGAATATGTGTGTGCAAACCGGGAATTTGAGTCGGGTAGCGTTCGAGATTAACAGAAGGAATTGATGTTTTGGTGGCAACTGCCATGTATTGAAACGAGCATCTACTCGTTAGTGTACTGTCTTTTTCATATCAAGAGGTACCAGCAGTTTTTAAGATGTCTCATTCAAATAATATGACCCGAACAGAATCTCAATGTTTCTTGGTAGACTCAAGATGTTCTAAGGCATGTGCAACGATCTAATTTTTAAACAAAAAACTAGACTCTCCTTTAGGACATGTTAAATTCCCACCACGTCATTGTCAACCTTTCACCAGGACACTGTAAGATTCCTAACAGGGCATTTCACGAACTTTGTGGTTCCTGTGTTCGCCAACCGACTGCCGAGAAAGACGGTTAAAATCCACTGTTGTGGTCGAAAAAGATAGTTGGTGAAACAAAGGTAACCAAGAAGAAAACACAATTGCAGAAAGAATCCCAGGGAGCCAGCTGGGTTAGAAGAAACAGGGAATGGTTAATGCGAAATAAATGTTGCAATCGTCATCATGTACGTGTGTGTGTGCAACAGCACGGAAACCAGAAATTGATGCCAATATACAGATATGGTAACATCTCCATCCTGTGTATCTGGCACGGTGAGATTAGAAAATCAGCTGGTTCGAATGCTAGATCGTTTACCGTTTGTGCAGCGCTGTATAATGAATCGAACGTTCCAAACGTGTTCGTTGGAATAACAACAGTTCACAGCCACGTAGGTGTTGTTGTTTGTTCAAGAAAAGAACATAAGCAGGCACTCTCAAGATAGTTACTACATGGAAATTTGACTGGGTCGATAACGCAGTCACATGTAGTCAACCGCCGGTCAAATAAGTGGGAATGAAAGGGTCTAGTAGGAGACAGGAAAATGTTCATATCGAACACCCGAACTGCATGCTTAGGAGCGCAGTGTTGGACGGTGTCGGTGGTCAACTGTTTGCAACAGCTCGTCACTAGAGTTAGAGAAATTGGTAATCCTGTTTCAATGACTCAGGGATGACGCTCGCTGGAACTTCGTTCCTCGAGGTGCAGCAGTGTCAGAAAAAACCTAGGGGGACAGATGGGCAGAGAG